TGGCTGGACCTCTGGGTGGCTGGAAACACCTTAACCTCTGATGGATGTTTAGAGGTTGGGATGGATTTCCTTAAGCATTGATGAACCTGTTGTGTGTGCCCTGGGGTGTTGTAGCACCTAGTTGTGTGTGCCCTGGGCTGTTGTACCACTTGATACCTAGTTTTCAGACTAGTTGTTGTTTGATACTCTGAAGATGAACCTCCATGATGATTGTGATTGAACTGAGCTGCTATTTATGGTGTTGGCTGAGAGGCTCTAAATGCTCCTGCCCCTGACTTTGTAATTTGGTGTGCTTCATGTTTAACAAGTTTGTGGCTGTACCTGCTTGGCTTCCCTGTGTTGTAGAAGTGATGATATCCTTCGAAGGGATTTTTGAGAACTTTGGCTATAACACCTAACCTGATGGGGTTGTTGATCTCCTTGTGCAAACCAAAAAAGTGTTGATGGCTGCTGGTGACTCCTTGCTGGTGACTCCTTGTGGATGTAAACTTTATCGAAGACTTGTGTGTATTTGGCCTAGTGTATGTTGGACTCCCTGTGTTGTAGAAAAGCTGATAGCTTCTTCGAAGGGATAGTTCTTTAGCATTTGTTTGTATTGTAGATTCGTTGTAATGTGTTGTAGTGTGATGTATTTGTTAGTGTAATTTGTAACCTATGCGTGTAACCATGTTGATGGTTAAGCATATAACTTTGATGTATTTGTTTGATTTGGGTAATAATAATTTACATGTTACCCTTGAAAGAGCTCTCAATAATGTGAATTTCTCTCTCTAGAACCGTGGTCTGCTGCTCTCTCTCTCGCGATGAACAGTAACTCGGATTCTTCCATGAGACTTTCCCCTTGATTTTGTGGTCCGATTTTGATGTTTATTGATTCCTTGGAGTCGTATAACAATGGAGAACACTATTATGAGATCAATTTCAAAGATTTGTGGAGGATTTTGGCTCAATTGAAGGTCAACTCAGTCGCTGTTACTGTTCACAGCGGAAATTGCAGGTGTGATTTCCCTCGGTTTGCAGCTGATTTGAACACCAAAATTGAGGTATTGTGAGCGACTTGGAGTGCTTAAACATATTCTAAAGCTTGTGGAGCAATCCCAACAAGAATTTGTGATTTTTGGCTTCAATTGGATTTTCGGGTACTGTTCACTGCGAGAAACCAGCTCCAGGTTCCTGCTGCCAATCTCCTCTGCTTTTGTTCTCACTTTGGGTGATTCCCAAGTGTTTTTTGAGCTGTGTTGGGTGATTCCCACGTATGTTTGAGCTGTTTTGGGTGATTCCCATGTTTCATTGAGCTGTTCTCCTGTTTTTGGTGGTGTTTGTCTTTGTTTGTGCTGGTTTTTCCCCCTGGTCTGTCTCTTGTTGCTGCCTTCTTGCACCACTGCTGTTTTTTGTTGGTTTGAGCTATGGGTCATAGTAAGAAGAACAAGATGAAGAAGGGAACTAGGAAAAACAGCCATAACATTACAAACTTTGTCTTTGATGGAACGCCGGTTAGTGAGGCAAAGCAGCGGGGGGCTGCCGGTCAGAGCAGTGGTAAACCACACCAATGTAATGATGCTGGCCAGGCCTCCTCCTCTTCGGCTGATGTTAGTGTCACGCTAAACCTAGTCGACTGATAACTCGGGTTTGGGTTAGTACTTTTTATTCAATTTTAGCCATTTTTAATATTTTTAGAGTTTAATTTTTAGTTGTTTAGCTTAGTTTTATTTTAATTCTTATTTTTACACTCTTTTTATTTTCTCTCAAAAATAGTAGCTTTTTAGTCATTTTTTACATTCTTTTATCTTTATTTTATTTTTCCTAACCCAAATTATCAGATATCTTATTTGTGGAGAAAGTGCAGCAAAAGGCCAAAGTACAGTTCAAGTTTAAAAAGAAGAGATCAAAATTGGGTTGAAGCCCAATCCATCATCAACAACAATAACCGGCCCTTTCCTCCTTTGCTTTTTAATTCGCACAAGTAAAAGAAAAAAAGTCTACGACTCCTTCGCCATCGTCAACGGAGCGCAGCGCCCAAATCAAACGCATAACTCCTCCAACGTTCTGCTCCATCAATTGCGCAGCAATCAATTATCAACGGGAAGAATTCAGCTCCTCCTTCTATAAATTGAAGAGAATCGACACACATGAAAAGGGGGAAATATCACGGAGAGAGCCGCGGCTCTAGGCCGCGGCAAATGAAATTGAGCCGCGGCAGTGGCGGTGGTGGCGGCCGGCAGACGTGAACCGGCGGCGGAAAAAGCTCCGGCGAGTGGTGGGCAGTCTTCTTCAAGCTCCAATTTCTTCAATTTCATCTTCTTCTTCATCAATTGGTAACCCTAGCTTGTTTCTTCAATTTTGTTCTCCAATTCTTTGTAAAGTGTTGTTTTTAGTTTAATTTTTACATTCTTGTTTATTTGTTTGTGTTAATTTCGAAAATTCCAAAAATGGTTGGTGTTCTTCTTTTTGGGGTTTTTTTTAATATTTATATAATCCCTTATGAATGAGAATTGATTCTTTCTTATTTACTTAAATTATTGCACAAGTTGTTGTTAAATTGGTTGAATTGTTTCAAATTCATAAGTAGGTTGTTATGTAGAATTCGGTTTTTGTTGAAGCTATTTTAGCTCCATAAGATAGTTAAATGAACTCTGAATTCATACGTGTTTCTTTGTTGTGCTTGTGTTCGTTGATTTTAAGGATTTTGGACTTCTTAGCCCCATAAGTTGATTCATTTTTCTTAGAATTCGTTATAAAGTGATTTTGTTATGTTATATGTTTGTTTTCCATTTTCTTTGAATTGAGATTGTTTAAGTGCAATAAACAATTCTTGATTTATTGAAAATACGTTGTGTTCTTCTATGTGAATAGAAAAAACGTCATTGGTTTGAGAAGTTCATGGAAATCTGTGAAATGTGCTCATCATTAGGAGAAAAGGTTTATTAAAATGCATAAGATATTGGCGGTTTGTGAATAGATTATGCATGAGAGTTAGAATGAAAAAAAATTCGCTCTTTTATAAACTTTTTCTATAGTGGAAGTATGTTTTCATGCTTGATTGGTGAGTTGGGGTTCTAAGGTATATTTCAAAATGGGCCTTTGAATTGCATGACTCCGGGCCGTGTGGAGAGTTGACAATCCTCCATATCGTGGTTAAGGAAATGAATCGACTCGGCCTTTGATTGTTTTTCCTATTCTTAAGTGCGTAAGTTACGTAATATATTGTCTACGTGCCTATTATACGTGTAATGTTC